AAAAAAAAAAAAAATTCCCGATAACCTTGGTGTTCGGGTCAACTTGCGTACACCTTGACTAATTCCACAGGTACTTGCGCCTCCCACTACCACAGGTACCGGGTAATATTGTACACCAAGGATTGGACACAATGGAAGAAATCACCTAGCATTTTGCCTCCGCTGAGATTTGAACTTGAAACCTTCTAAATTCCCCCTTATTTTCCTTCATTAACCAATTAATTGACTTATCTGGAAAATGAATGAGTTCTGCTAACCTAACACTTCAGTGCAAAGACAGTCTAACAGGTACATCTGTTCTTTTCTACAGAATCAAACTACACTAAGTTTGATTGAAATTCATGAAAAGTAAATGATTCTAAAGCTAAGCTCTGAACTTAGCATTCAACAGGTGACTAGAGAAAATTCTCGGCTACTTTCATCTAGAGCTATGAATAAACATTCGCCATCCACCTAAAAGGAAACAGAAAAGATAAGAAAAGGAATCAACTTCTCTTTCCATTCTCAAGCTTCCCAGACAGAGATTACACAATTGAGCATTTTGTGTGACAATGTTACACACTAAAATTACACAATTGAGCATTTTGGATGACGGTGGTATTTGTACCAGCGCACCTCGACTATTCCACCGGGTACCTGCTACCTCCCACTAGCACAAGTATCTGATATCTCTAGATGGGAAATACATAACTATACAATTTGATAAAAGATAAACATATACCAATTCCTTTTCATTTTGTTTTGTTTCAGGTAAATAGACTCCCATATCATCTGGATAAACATATGTCCATTTTACCAAAGCTATAGCTAAATAAAAACCCTAATGTCCCAGCCTTGACCAATTAACAGCTAACTACGATGCGAATAAACCATCAATTGAACTTGTATTCATATTTCTCAGATCTAATTCATTTCGTCAAATGGGTTTATCAAATAAATCAAAATTTAACCACTCCCATAAAGAGAATAGAGGAAAATACCTTGGAAGGATCGACTTTGGGGAAGCATTTGACGACGTCAAGGACTCTGTTGATGACCTCATCTTTGGTGATATGGTCATCGTGCGACGACATCAATCTGACAGCGGTTAGCCTCGATCCATTTGCAGCTAAGGCTTGGGTTGCCGGGACCCGGATGTGGCGGAGTATAGCAGATCTCAACGCCGACGCCATTGTTGTTCTCGTCGTTCTCCCTTTTCTGTTTAGGCCTTGTTGCGAGGGGAAGAAGTGCTGAATTAGACTGAGGTTTCGAGGATTAGTTTGGGTATTTTACACCTTGATCCCTTGGACCGGAATAGCAAGCCCCGGTTCAGAAGCTTAGTAAATAGTTTTTCCAATTTTATATTTAAAAAACTTCCAACTTCTCGATTTATGGATTTTTTTCTGTGTCCGTCTTCGGAATTTTTATTTTATACATGGACGAATATCCCTGCATTTCTCAAAGGTAATCATACACTTGTAAATTCTCGAAATAGATATTTCAAAATCACTCAAACGAAATTAATTTTACGATTTTAAACTTTAAATTGATCCTTTATTACTAACCTAATAATACATGTTGAATATGGAGTTACTTCAAAAGAAATTGTAATTCTTAAATTCATCCGTTTACTCCAAACAAACAAAAAACTAATAGTGTATTATTCTTTTTATAGTTCTGCTTTTCTTTTGGTCAAATCTTTGAGACGTTTACATTTGTTTGAATTCTAGAAAAACTAGTTTTTGAAAATTGCATTTTTTTTCCAAAAACAAATTTGTAAAGAAGTCTGTGTTTGGACTAGTTTTGATTAAGGTTTCGGAAAAGCTACTCAGGTATTCATGTTTTGAATAAATAAAAAAATAGTATGACCTTTATATCATATGCTTTTTTCACATCTTCACCTACATAATCTTGAAGCTCATCTTTTCCTTAACTTTTTTTAATTACGTGGGGTAAAGAAATGTGAGAGGAAGGGAGACAATGAGAATTGAACTCACACTTATTGTGTGAAAGGTTTCAATAATTCCACTATGGTGGAACTCAATCTTCGGCAACTGAGCTCATTCTATATCAAAGGTAAATAAGAGAAATAAAGGGAACATATCAACCAAATGGGACAATAGTGGAAACAGTTGCATGCATTATCCATGACCTCTGTGTATCAGAGTCTTGTATCGCTCCGTTTTGTTTGCCTCCTAATATCATTGACAGATACAAGTACTAACATACAATATCACATAGCCAGTTTGACAATTACTGCTCTTTATCCACATGCTTAAGTTTCAAAGTTTAGCAGCAAAGTACCATTATCTTTTCTTTAGAACCCATTCAGGTGCTTCCCATTGCAAAGTTTTCTTCTTTCAGAATTCATTTACTCTTAGGCTACGGTCCTCAAATCGGCATCCGTTTACCCATGTTAACCCTGTTACGCGGAAAGAACTGCACAACACAAAGGAAACAGTTCTTAGCTTCAATCCAGAAAATGCTTTGCCTAATAATGAACATGCTAAGCTTTGCTTCTAACAAGTTGACAGATATAGAAAGATTCTTCAACACTAATATATGCATATAAGACAGTTGGAAGCTAAAAACTACTATGGGCGTGATTGCACAAAAACCAGTCAACAAAACTTCTCTATACGATAAATCTTTGAACTATCCAGAGATGAATTTCAGGAATCCAACAAAGAGACAAAATTCCTTAGGCGTAACCAGTTGACAACCATAATGTGATGCATGAAAGAATCTGAAGCTAATTGCACATATAACTTTTAATGCTACTAGAGAAGATACATATACAACATACTGACATACCGATGACACAGATGATTGGCGAAAGATTCCACCAACGATAGGTAACTTCCTCAGGAAAACAGCAACAGTGGGCCAAAAGCCACTGCATTACATAGTATGCCTTATTAGCCAACACTGTTTATTCTTGGTGAGACACAAGGATGCAAGAAAAAGGGTTACCTGAACAGCACAAAAAGACCGCAGGTCTCCCAAATCATGCCTAGCACAGGCCATCCCAGCATAATAAGCACGAAACCAACAGCAAAGGAGGCAGAACCCTATCAGATAATTAAAGCTTTGGCATATGAAAATGGAGATTGCAAAGGGAAAAAAGGTAGTAATAGCAAAGACATAGATGAAGCAGGAGATGGAGGGTCCGTTAACTTGGAACCTTAAAATTTTGTCGTTTCATGAAAATTTGCCAGGTAGACATCACTCCAATGGTTAAGGTCACCCCAGACAGAAGGAGGATCTGATCACACAAAAAGTTCCATCAAAGATGATACAAAGTAGAAACAAACATATTAAAGGGCACAATCACAAAGCATTAGAGGATGAACAACAAAATAGCTGTCAGATTGTCAATAAAGAAAATCTTACATTCCCAATGACAACGAAGCTCCTCTCAAAGAAGAGAAACACTCCAAGCAGAGTAAAAAATACACCAAGTGCAGTCAATCCAAGCCCAATCTCTGTCACATGTCAGAGAAAGTAAGAACTTGAGACAACAAATAAGGCAACATTATTATAGCATATTAACAACCACGAAATCACCATAAGCTTCAGTTTTGCTTCAGAACAGTGAGGAGGTTATATGTTTTGTAAAACCATATTCAAGAAAAGATACAAGACTTCTCTTCGAAATTGATAGTGTTTTAACACAGTGCAATATATATGTTTATTTCTTGATAAGTTTCCACAATAGAATATGACGATAGAGCACCACATGATCCTACGTCTTTATCACCTTTAATCAACGTCAGTTTTTGACAATTATGCTTTACTTTTCGGAGATAACATCTAACCTAGCATATACAAGGAAAGAAATTTATAAAATTAGTTCAAATTGTACATTCGACAAATGAAAATTTTGATAAGTTTACGTGGTGAACTAAAGAACTGATAGAACTTTATACTTCACTTTTTGTTTTCTACAACGTAGTTTACTACTTTTTCTTGGATCAAAGTACATCATCAGTAATACCATGCTATAGCTTTCTAGAGCCATTTTACAATCTCAGGTCTCAGATGAGATTGAAGGTTTTGATTTCCCATGGTTGAGGAACTGTGTATTTGGAACAAACATGTCAAAATCACTAGGAACATAAACTTTTTACAGGTGTCCTGAAAAACATATGCCGTTCAACTTTCAAATGTCCAGGAAAGAGCCAACTAATTCTCTTGGTGTTCTGCAACAAAACTGAATGACTAGAGAGCGATAAATATACCTTCATGTAAGTTCAAAATCAAATGAATAAAAGAAGCAAGATCAAACGTACTGGAGATGCTTTAGGATTCTAATTACTTGCAAATTTTAAGATAGAAACTGAATTCACTCTGTAAGAAATAGACGTTGTTTGCTGCTGATGAATGAAATTGCTATTAGACAGAGACTGATTACTGCCAATCTTGAGGGTACTTCCAAAAATTGTTCAAACTCACCTTTAAGGCATCTTATTCCCCGTTTTGGCTTTCCTTTGGAATCATCTTCATCTAAAGAAGATTTTCTTCCTAATTCTTCCCTCCTCCTGTGATCTTGACCTTCTAAGTGATTTCCGAAAGCTCCCATTATGACTATTACCCAACAGAAAGTAAGAGATTTAGTTTCGGCACATTGGGATGGGGGGTGGAAAAAGAGAGATCAGAAAATATTTCTGAAGAAAGTCGTCTTAAATCTGACTAAATATTACTACCTACATACATACTATGATGCTGAAATTTAATAAAATAATTAAACAGATACAAATAATTACACCAAAATCTCGAATACAACTTAAGTTTTCTGCCTGGAGAAGTCGAAGTAAAATAATTGATCTACAAAACAACATTGTATTAACATCTCATGCAAAATGACGAAAGAAATAAAAAGAAACCCATTAAGTTCAAGCCTGCAAGACCAGCATCATGGTGAATTTGTAAAGCTGTAACAAACTCAAAGTGCATCGATAATGAGATTCGATATCATAGAGCTGCCATAACAGACATAACAAAACCAGGCAACCAGCAGTTGATTTTTTCATACATCACGTGGTGCAGACAAAGAAAAGCAAAGACAGACTGTATCAATTCTAAACTATAAGCAGACAGGTTTGTACATAATTCTTTGATTAAGACGATAGACTAGAAAATAATAATAACTAATGATCTATTACATAGATAATCTAGAACTTCTAATATGTTTTAAAACAAAAACTTATACACTTTATGTGAATCAGAACACTCCATAATTTGACCATATGGAAGAACTATATTTCAAAAGCACCATTTCTGGATCTACAGAAAATAAGAGAAGTCAAAGATAATGAGGATAGAACGGCGGAGTGTGCACTCACTCTTAACATCACTTCCTTCAAATGAAACCATCCTGTCAACCAGAACTTGAAACTTCAACTACCAAATAACCTGACAATAAAAACACAAATATACATGATGGAACAGACGGTTGCATCAGTACTCATCTCTTCAGTGGCATCGTAGTTTTTGCAAACTCAAAAACAAACATAATTAAGCAGCATAAATATTCAATACTGCACCGAATCACTTCCACTAACAAATACTCCTACTCACTTCTAGATAGATCATAGATGAAAAAACCTGATATGATTTTAAAGTTCAAAGCCTAAAATAACTGAAATATAAGGAGCAACAAAGTTAGACGCTCTACAGCCATTGCTATTGCGCTAATTTCTTAACTAACAAATTGCAAATGCAATAAAACTCATAAAATTTCCTATATCTACCGCTGTCAATCATTCAAGTAGATGCGAGTAAGAGAATTGTCGTATTTCAGCAATAGCGCGATCAAACAAACCACAATATCAATCCAAATAACCGAAAATGAGTCAGACGCTACAAAAAAACACAAAATCTCTGCAATCAACGAAGTAGTAGATTGACAAAAAATTCACGAAAAATTGAAGCTTATCTTACGAGAATTGACGAATTTCACCGAAATACCATTACGCCTAATTAAGTAATGTTTGTATCTAAACATCAATAATCTATCGAATAGACCGTGAATGCATGAGTGTTTATACGATTTGTGAAGTGCAAAATGGATATACAGAGAGGGGAAGAAGAGAGAGCATGGAGTGTTTACCTCTATGTCAGAGACGAAGAGCTTCAACAGAAAAGGCGCGGTTGGCATTTCTGTTTTCAATTAGTTAATATATGAAGCCTATCCGTCGTATGACGTGGATATAGGTTTATTTTCATTAATGCATTGAAATGATTGGATTGTATATAAATATTTTTCACCCTTCTGTATAAACTATTAGACATTTATTAAAATTCACTATCAGAGTATACCAATTTTTCTTAGTGTTATAAGCTTGTGTGTGTTTTACAACGTAACAAATTCATATTTTGAATGTCACGGTATTTCGAGACGAAAAGTTTATTGCAATTGTATACGGTCAAAATCGGGTCCATCCAATTTTACTATTTGATCGAGACAACGGAGTCGCATTGAGGGTAAGCCTCGTAAGGGATCAGGTCAGAGCACAAAGACGAGGTATCGAGTTCGAGAATCGAGGTACCTGTCGAGATCGAGGCCAGCAGCGATCGGGACCAAATATGACAGACTTCGAGCAAAGCGCAATAACAGAAAAGCGAGATATCCGTAATCGATCGAAGATCACGGCGGAGATCTCGGAACAGATCAAATCAAGGGCGATTGTTTAGGCTAATCATGGGATTTACTTCCGTAATTAGAATTGTACCATAGACAGGATTCCTCTACTATATAAAGAGGGTTCTAATCATTTTGTAAACACTTCACATTCACGCAGATCAAAGCAATATAATATTCTCTCTTTAATTTACATTCTCTTGTTCATCAGCTTGTTACATTATTATTGTTCCTGAACAACTAGCTCGAGGGTATTCAAGCTCGAGGGCTAAACTTTGTTCAAACACTGGTTTGCTTTATCTTATTGTCAATTTTTACTACTAATCTTTGTATTTATCAATTGGTATTAGGTGAAATCACGTATCCTTAAAACCATATTATAAATTTAATTGTTCTCCAGCTTTTAGGGTAAACAGTTTGGCGCCCACCGTGGGGCTAAGGATAATAGTGATTTCCTGGTATCAATTCCCATAACACACACTACTTTACGCTTATTCTTGTGAGTATTTTTTATTTCGGGGTCAACATGTCTAACCCGCAAGCAGTACCCACTCACGCCAATGACGGCCTCGGTTCCCATAGAGAAAACGATAATGCAGCCGTCCCAGGAACGAAGTGCCTCAAGCTGGCCACGAGGGAGTACCTATCGCAGACCCTGTCGATGTCAGTTTGCATATCGCCCTAAATGCAAATCTGGGCGTCGACACTGGAAATAGTGTTCGCAGAGATGCCCGAGCGGCCGATCAGAACGCATAGAGCGGTGAAGAAGGGGGAATTAGCCTTCGAGTGATATTTGAAATACTGCAAACTCAGCAAGCTGCAATAGCACAGCTTCAAAATTAAAATCGAGCACCAAGCAGAATTGAGCTCGAAACATCACAAGAGGTTGTTCATAGAGCTGAACCCGTACCGGAGAAAATGAATACTAATGAATCGGGGAATGACCCCGCCATTATGAAGATGCTTTAAAAGCTCACTAAACGGATAGAATCAAGTGAAAAGAAAATTGTGCTAATGACAAGAAGGTAGAAACATACAACTCACGGGTTGACCAAATACCAGGGGCACCCCCGGTCCTAGAAGTTCGTGCAGAAGCCTTTCCCTCAAAGTGCGGCTCTGAAGCCCATTCCTAAGAAATTCCGTATGCCAGACATCCTCAAATACAATGGGACCACCGATCTTATGAGCAAGTCACTTCGTACACATGCGGGATAAAGGGAAATGACTTAGAAGATGATGAGATTGAATCCGTTCTATTGAAGAAATTTGGAGAAACTTTATCGAAAGGTGCCATGATATGGTAATAACTTACCACCCAACTCCATTGATTCGTTTGCTATGCTCGCAGATTCTTTTGTGAAGCCCACACCGGAGCCATTAAAGTTGCAACAAGGAAATCAGACCTCTTCAAAGTAAGACAAAAGGATAACGAGATGCTCAGGGAATTCGTATCTCGGTTCCAAACGGAACGAATGGACCTACCTCCAATTACCGACACTGGGCTGTTCAAGCTTTTACACAAGGTCTCAACACGCGGAGCTCCATAGATTCACAACAGCTAAAGAAAATTTTGATCGGATACCCAGCTGTCACTTGGGCCAATGTACACACTCGATATCAAGTCAAAGATTAGGGTCGAGGATGATCAATTGGGAACTCCAGTTGGTTCGATTTATCCCAACAGGTCCGCGGACAGAGCTAAAAGGGACGTCGATCGGGAACTACGGTCAAATAGAGATAGGTACCAACCATACAGTGGAGATCGGAGAAATAACAGGCCCGGCCGCAACCCCGTACGAAATGATAGAAGGAACGATCGGGGACTGAGTTCCCGAGGGCTTATGAGCAAAAGCGGTTTCGATAGGGATGCCGGGTCCAAGGAAGCACCTCGACTGTCAGAATACAACTTCAGCATCGATGCATCAGGTATTGTATCATCCGTCGGTCGGATTAAGTATACTAGATGGCCCAGACCCTTACAAACCGATCCACCTCAAAGGAACTCAAATCAAATGTGCAAATACCATGGTACCCATGGTCATAGAATTGAAGACTGCAGACAACTGAGAAATGAGGTAGCCCATCTATTTAACGAGGGTCACCTTCGAGAATTCTTAAGCGATCGAGCCAAAAACCACTTAAAAACAGAGATTCGAACAGGCAGAACGAACAGGAAGAGCCACAACAGTAATTCATATGATTGTTGGTGGGGTCGATATACCTCAAGGACCGGTATTCAAACGCACCAATGTGACAATCACGAGGGAAAAGCGAACTCGAAACTACTTACCAGAAGAAACCTTGTCTTTCAATGACGAGGACGCAAAGGGAATCGGATAACCTCACAACGATGCACTGGTAATATCTATCCTTATGAATAAAATTCAAGTTAAATGTGTGTTGGTTGATCCAGGTAGCTGATAAGTTGGTATTTTACCAACTTATCTCCTCTTGATACTTAGACTTTTGTATAATTTTATTGAGAAACTAAGGCATTTTCGGAGTTTTATTGGCATATTTCATGTATCAAGTGATTTAGAGAAGATACAGAAGAAAACAAGTCAAAATATGTTAAATTGAGAAAAATGGACTGCTGCCAGAATATGCTCTTCGCGATCGCGAACTTTCACATGCGATCGCAATGGTCCAGGAAATTATGTATCGCGAACGCAGGGCCAATTCTGCGAACGAAGAAGAAGCTGGTCATTGGTTCTCAGGTGTTCTACGCGAACGCATGATCTGGTTTGCGATCGCTATGCTTTGCATCAGTACTCTACGCGAACGCAGGCCTGCTTACGCGATCGCGATTCACAAAACTGGGGAGAAATCTGGGCAGTTTTGGCATTTCACATTTTTGACCCCAAAACCATTTAATACACGACCTAGCAGATCTTTGGCATGTCTTTGGCTTAATTTTTCGTCTTTAGACTAGAGAGAACAAGTTTGGAAGCTAGGGTTCTTGCACATACACTTGGGTTTTGAAGAATTGAAGATTTTGGTTAAGAATTTCTTACTCATTTGTACTCATTTCTTCATTTCCTTGCTTTGTATTGAATATCTAAGTGTGTAATTATTTCAACACTTGAATCTTGTTTATGGGAATATTCATGTTTAAGGTGTGGATTAAATATCTTGTTGTGCTTATGTATTGAAAGATTTTTTATCTTTTATGAAGTGAGTTATTGTTACTTTTATTATTCTTGTTCATTAATGTTTCCAAAGGGATTAGCTAACCCTGGGACTCGCCCATTAACTTCGAAATAATTTTGGGAAAGATTATTTGGCGTTAGGAAAGATTAATTAACAAGAACTTGAGGCTTTAACCCTCATTTTATAGATTCTACCTAGGGATAGGGTTGAACTACTTGTAGCCATAATCAAGAGTGCTTAATCTCTTAATTGATTTAGGGATAATTCAATTAGGAAGTCTTGTTAGTTTTCGGAAGAAGCTAATATAGAATTATTACCCGAGGCTAATTAACATAAATTCTCTCATATTTATAAAATCGTGAAATACATTGGATCGTTACATGAGTGTAGTTCCCAATGCATCCATACTTGTAGCCATTGATCATTTTACTTGCTTTCTAGGTTAGTTTACATTTTTTCAATTAGCTATAAGTATTTTCTCAAAACTATTCTTAGTGTTTGGCATTGCATAACAAGTGATAATTCTCTTAGATTCCTAATCGCCTACATATTGTTCTCTGTGGATTCGACCCCGACTCATAGTTGGGTAAATTATATTGCATGCGATCGTGTCCATTTACTATTTAGTAGTGAATTTGGATGTCATCAGTAGCTCAGCAAATATTATTCGATCAAGGGTCGTAGAGCAACTCGGCCTCCAAGATCAGAACGTGCCCGCAGCTCGGGCACTCAACGGTTTCAATATGGCTAGTGAGACCACCAAAGGAGAGATAATTTTGCCAGCAAATGTAGCTGGGACCATCCAAGATACAAAGTTTCATGTGATCGAAGGTGACATGAGATACAATGCACTGCTCGGAAGGCCTTGGATACATAACATGAGAGCGGTACCTTCGACACTTCATCAAGTTCTAAAGTTCTTAACATCGGAAGGAGTCAAAACCGTGTACGGTGAACAACACGCCGCCAAAGAAATATTTGCAATCGACGAAGTGATACCGATATCAGCGCTTTCGTCAACAAAGGGATCGGAGTCAAAGGGAAAACAAGAAGTCAAATAGCAACCATAGGCACCGGTCTCGGCCCCATCGTAGGGACAGGAGATCTTCGAGGATGAAGATTATCTGATACCTCGAGCCTTCATAACCCCTGATGATTCTGATGCAATAAAGTTGATGGTCGGGGAGCTGGAACAACTCATACTGATTAAGCATCTTCCCGATCGAAAGGTATACCTGGGCACGGGGTTAACTCCAAAGCTCAGGAAAAAACTCGTTCAATTCCTTTTAAATAACATGGATTGTTTTGCTTGGTCCCACCTAGATATGGCAGGGATCTCACCGGAGATCACAACCACGATTG